GAGCAGGGAGCCCGATGCGGGACTCGATCCAGGGACTCCAGGATCATGACCTGAGCCGAAGGCAGTCGCTCAACCAACTGAGCCACCCAGGCGCCCTTTACTATTCTTACTGTGTAAACACGGGATGAACCAGTTCAGAGAAGGGCAGGAGGCGGGGAGGCACCCTCCCCAAGTCCCTCCCCGGGTGGTGACCCAGCCCAGTCCCTGCCCGGCCGCCCGGCCCCGCGCCCGAGCTCACCCTGCAGCTGCTCGATGAGCGTCCAGGCCATCCGGGCGCCACTGGCATCAAACACCACGTGACCCTGAGTGCGGGAACAGGCAGGGGCCGGCCAAGGTGATAAAAGCAGGAGCCAAAAGAGAGCGTCAGGCACTCTCCGGATCCTTATGTGTTTGATGTAATTGAGCCTCTGAATGAATTCTATTTATGGCATTTGCCTGCATATAGGACATACCCCAGATGCCCATACCCTAGATTTTAGAAACATTCTTCTTTGGAAAAGCTTCACCCATGGGATTTGAGTGGGAAACAACCCCAGCTAGAGCCCCAAGAGACCTGGCCTCTGGCTGTGACCTGGGCACGTCACCAAATCCCTCTGGACTCTAATTTCCCCACTTTGAGAGCAATAGGAGATGATCTTTCAGACTATCTCCTCTTTTAAAATCCTATGATTTGCATCTGACTCATCAATATCTGGAGATACATGAGGGAGAGGTTGAAAGGAATGGAATACAGCATTTTCCCTTCTGGTCTCTCACGGGTTTTCTGGTTTGGGGGTCTGAGACCGATTACTGCAGGTTAATGGGTGCGTGCAGGAAGGAGGGCGCGCTCTGTCTCAGGGGAGGACAGGGGAGCGTGAGGAGGTGCTGTCACTCACAGAGACACCCTCGAAGGACGAGGAGTTCATTGCCCGGTAGATTTGGTCCGTGATGGTCTGGTTGTTATAGTTGAAGTCTTCCAGGCGCACCCCCGAACGGCCACCCCCTCCGGACGTCTTGTTCAGGGCCAGCGCCAAGGCCCAGATGGCATCGTAGGCCAGCGGTGCCTCCTGGAAACCACCTGTCTCCTCGGGGTGTCTCTTGAGTCTCTTGGTCAGTTTCTCCACAAACTCCTGGGATGTCTGTGGAGGGAAGGATGGGGGGAAAGGGCTGGCATGGGTGGGTGTGTGGGGCACGGCTTCTGATTCCAGCTGCAACACTTGTAATCAAATGGATGGTTCGTGTTCCTGTTGTCAGAGGGAGCAGACGGACATGCGGAATCTGGAATGACGGCCGTGTGCCTGTCTTGGAAGCTGCCGGACTGGACCTGGGGTGAGCGGGGTCCAGTGGCCCCGGGTGAACAGACACGAGCTCAGAACTGGAACCAAAGATCTAAGGAATGGACACTCTGCATGACGAGTAGCTGAAGAGAGTAGACATGGAGCTACAAGGCGATGTTCTCGCAGGCTCAGACTCTCTCAGTGGGCTGGACCTGGGACCTCACAGCTCCTCCGATTCTCAAACAGCCTGGAGGGGCCCCCCGGAGCCTTCCTCGCTGGGCTCCTCAACCAGTGGGCTACCTCCCTGAGCATCCTCACGTGCTCTCAGCTACAGCCCCCCGGAGGGTTTTCGGGAGACTGGCCCCAGAGACACCCTTCCTGTGTTTGAAAGCCAGTATTCAGCCCCTACCCACAGCCCTCCCCACCCCCAATCTTTGTTCTCCAACATATATAAAATGCTGGGTATAAAGTGTTACTCTTTGTAAATTTCCCTGTCTCTCAACCTCATCTTGTCACTGACACTCAGATCTGCAGTCCAGCTCAGCATTTCATGTCCTGTATCTCCAACTGCTCTGAGGTATTTGTAGCTATATGATCGATGATCCAAAATTAAAAATATCTAAGACGAAGCTCCACTTTTCCTGGCACTTCCCAGTACGTGAGACTGAAGCCTTGGAATCACCAAGTCCTCTTAATTCTCTGTTGAAATGTTTCATTAAGATCATCAGTGCCTACACAGAATAGTGTTAATAATAATAGCTAGCATTTATATTTCCTGACAATGTTCCAGGCATTTTTCCATTTTTCTGAGGTATGTGTATATGTATAATATATATATTATATATATATAGAATCAGGCACAGAAAAGTTTAACTTGCCGGAAGTGATACTGCATGGCAGGGCTGGGATTCAAGCCCAGGCAGCCTGGCATCAAAGCCCATACTCTTCCTAACCACCTCGCATTGCTTCTGCATGCTGACATGCCTCTCTCCAAGAGCACCTGCTCGGCAGCCAGCTGCAAGGCTGAGACTTCCTGAGTAATCCTTCACAAGTCTATCCAATCTTCAGTTCACAGTACACACTAGATCAGAAAAACATCCAGATGGAAAGGGATTCATCTGCCCTGCATGGTGCTCTCCCCACCCAGATCTTCAACTCTCTGCAGGTTCCAGGTCACTCGACCAACATGCTTACCCAAAAAATCATTCCGCCTTGGGCCAACAAAGATACCTTTGCAAATTTTCAGGTGGAAACGTTACTAAGCAGCTCAAGGAAAAGTGAACAAGAGCAAAAATTCCACAACCCATAGAAATTAGTAAAGTAATCAAGGGCAACTTTATGACCCTAATTTTCTATCAGCCCTGCTGGCTGTCTCTATGTGAGGGACATGACACCGATGCCCGACTGTGACCTAAACCATGTATCCTGAGGCAGCTTCTGATTTTGTATTGTACTGAGATCTGATGGGACCTCTATCCCAATTTGTGAGAACTGGAATAGAATCTTACCCCCAGGTAAGGCCACCTCCCAGCTGCCCCTCTAGCCCAGAGCTGTCAGTGTCCCCAAAACCACTCCAACCCACTGGCCCATTCCTGGCTCTTTTCTAAACCAGGGTTTCTCGATCTCTGCTCTACTGACATTTGGATCAGGAGAATGCTTTGCTGTGGGGGACTGACCTGTGCATTACAGGATGTTTAGAAGCATGCCTGGCTTACCCCTTAGATGAGAGCTGTGACAACCAAAATTGTCACCAGATATTGCTCCAGCCAATAGTCCTCAAAACCAGTAGCATCAACATCCCTAGGGAAACTCGTTGGAAAGGCCCACCCTAGACCTACCGAATCAGGACTTCCGAGGGAAGAGCCCCATAATCTGTGTCCTAACTAACCCTCCAGGATAGTGTAGACAGCTCTGCTTCTCTTCTAGATCTCCATGGCTCTGGGTCCCCAGGTCCAACCCTTGCTTCTGATCTACTTCTCCTGGTCTTGCTTGATTCATGTACGACCCATTCCCTGGTCAGCTGTTAAGGCTGCTTCTACCCTCTGGAAAATCCTGGCTTTTCCACCTGGCAATTTCAGCTACCAAGCAGGCCTGCAGTCTCTAGAAGCCCTATGACCTCAAAGGCAGGCACCACCTTTCTCTAGAGACCAAGAGCCAGAAAGACGACCCTCCAGCGCATTCTGCTTCAAAGCCCAGATGTCACTTCATACCCCTAACCAAGGCCCTGCTCCCCACCAGGGGCTCCTCTAGTCCCCTGCTATGGGGTAGAAGCCACAATGGGCAGGTCCCGGGCTCAGGGTGCCAATAAACGTCTTGGCTTTGGGTCCAGCTCCTCTACTTCCCCAGGTCTAAGGATGACTCACTTCTCAGGTGCTCTACAGGGAAGTGATCCTCCAGAATCTTCCCATTGTATGTTTCAACCAAGATACCTTAAACATGAAGTCCCTTGGAATTTCCTAGGACAGTGTCCAGAGTCCGTGTGACACAATCCACGGTTAGGACAGACTGCCTGAATCTTCTTCCTCCCTGGCTCAAAATCCGCCATCAGCCATACAGTATCTGCCAATAAAGCCACAGACTCTTTAATCGGATTTCACAGTTTTCCACAGAGGGTGACAGGGCAGAGTGCTTTGGAGTTAGACTCAAATAAGGGTCAATTCTGGCTTCACCACTCAGCAGTTACCGGGCCTGGGCCAAGTCCCTCAACCTCTCTGAGTCAGTTTCCTGGTCTGGAGAATGGAAATGAAAAACCTTCATCAGAGCTTGGCTGGAGGATCACAGAAACCATGTCCCTAAATTCCTGGTTTACTGCACAAAAGTAATTATGACTACACCTTTGTTTTAATGAGATATTTGGGGTTTTACAACCATTAACTTGCCCCTAGCGTGCTTCCCAAAATAGGTCTTCCAGACCTGGGCTACCCCTGGTGATTATAAGCAGACATGGAGGTTGCCTCACAAGCTCGCTCAAGATTCCTATATTCCTCCAGATAGAACCCTGAGCAAGACGGAGCCTCGGCCTCACACCCCACTCACTCGTGCCCCTTGCCTGCAGGGCTGCCCCAGCCTTCCCAGATCAGAGGACATGTCTTCCAGCCCCAGGCCTGTCACCAATCAGCTCTCTGGAATGAACGGATTTCAAAAGTCCCTTTTACATCTAAAATTCTAAAAGAGGATCATTTAAAAAACATCAGGAGCCAAGCTAATTGAGTATCAGTCAGGAGTGAATATTACGCAACTCCAAAGGGCTCTGAAGTCACTAAGAAAATAAAACGTATTTCTGCTCAGGAACAGCACAGTGTCAAGGTGTGCTTGCGTATACAGCATCTACATTATCATTAACGCCTCTCCCTCATTTGACTTCTTGCCAACCAGTCCTCGTTGCCATGGTAACAGCCCTTCATCTCAACAGGGGCCTCGTGAACATACCACTCCCATCTCTCTCTCTGGTTCCTGCTCAAGGAAGTCAGCGCAGAGGTGGAAGCCACAGGACACACGGTGCAAACAAGCCCCACGTGCCCTCCTGTGCCTGCAGATGCCATCCCGCTCCCCTCCCCCGCAAGGCACCCTCCGCTCTCTCCACCTGCCCAGGGGCTGGCCCTTGGTCCCCACGCTCACCATGTTGGAGATGCTGCGGGTGTTGGCAGGGTTCAGCATGACAATCTCGGTGGTGATGTGGCCTTCCACGGCCTCAGTCATCTCATCCACTGTGCAGTTGATGGATGGGTCATAGGTCTTGAACCAGTTGTCAGCATACCACCCAATGAGGAACCAGACATACTTCTTCCCGAAGAGCCGCTCCTTATACACCTGAAGGCAGAGAAGGAGCAGGGCGGGGACTTTGTTTCTTTTTCTGTCTCATTTCCCTTGACACTATCCAGCCTCTTGGGAATCAGAGAAGAGCAGAAAATTGAAAAGAGGAATCTACAAGTCTTGGAGGGAGTAGGAGAGGCTCAACTCCTCCTCCTCCTAAGTTCCTCCCCAGCAAGTCAGGAAAGATGGGGTTCAAGGGTTCCTGTAGAAACACAAGGGGGTAGGAAAATGAGATCTGGAGAAAGAGCTGAGTGCGAAAAGCCAAGAGATGGAGTCAGAGCCAAGAGACAGGGACGTCCTATTAATCATCACCTCAGATCATCTGCTATCAACCTGAGCAGACATGCAGAGAGACCCCATCAGACACCCAAGGTACAGAGCCCACCCAGGCCCCTCCCGCTTTGGATTCCAACTCTACCTCACAAAACACTTTCCGGGCTTCAGTCTCATAGAAAAGTCCCACGATGATTCGGGCATCCTGGCGCTACAGACGGAGAGAAACAGAGCTCCTGAGGGAGCCCTGGAAACACCCAAGCACTTCCACACCTTGGATTCCCTGCCCTGGAGAGCTCAGTGTAGGTTTTGCTCACAGGGTGGTGGATAAATGCCAACTGGACGATGAGAATAAATGTCCCCAGGAGATGCTACTCTCTCCCAGCATCAAATTCTGTGATGTAATAGAGCTGTTAGCGAATGTTAATCATATTGCAGTGTATCAATGTATCAAATCAACACTAAGCTTACACAACATTATTCATCAATTGTATGCAATATATAACTGCATATAATATATAATGTGTATGATACATTATATAATATATAATTGCATATTGTAGATATGTATATATAAAAATTTATCAAATCAACTCTTTGCACACCTTAAGCTTATACAATGTTATATGCTAATTATATCTGGATACAAAAAACAAGACAAAAAACAAAAGAAAAGAAAAAAAAACCCACCTGCCCCTGCCTGGTTCTCCTCTCCGACCTCCCACTTTGTTCCCCCAACCTGGTCCCTCCGCAGGCTGAGCCCCCCACTCCCGAGCAGCACACCTTAAGGTTTTTGACTGGCACGGCTGGATCTGAGAAGAAACTCTGGCGGAAAGTAATCTCAATTCCAGCCTCCTTCACTCGCTCCTCTAGGTCGTCCAGAGTCTTGGGTGGGCATGAGAAACAAATGGAGAAAACGTGGGGTGTACAATGGGGTCAAAACCAGACATGGTACCTGGGGACTGCACACTCAGAGCAGGAGGAACAGCAGTTCTGAACCCTCCTTCAACTGAGTCTGTCCCCGGAGTGGGGAGAGCTCGAAGGAAAGCATCTGCCGTCTCAGAATGTAAACTCTACATACGAAGGTGCTCGAGAGCCCCTCCTGCGGATCTGTGTCCTGGGAAGCCACCCCACTCACCCCACTCCCACCAGACAGCAAAAGTGGGGGAAAGGAGAGCAGAGGATGTGGGGAAAATGAGTCAGGGTCTGGTGTGCACAGGACGGTCTCAAGCTCAAGAGGCAAGTGCACAGACAGAGGGATCAGAGAAGAGTGCCCTGAATCCCTGAGAGAGAGTGGGGGGAGGATTAAAGGGCCACAGAACATAAGGGTGGGTGGGGGATCCAAAGACTAGAATAAAAGAGAGGGGTTGACTATCTTTTCCAGTTCAGAGCCCTGCATTTCCTCTCTGCACTTCACCTGTCCTGTCTCTCTCTCTCTCTCATTCCCTCCTTCTCTGTTCCTTCTCCATTCCCACTGTTCCTACTCACACACACACATCACCCCCTGCATGTCTCTGGAATTTGCTGCCTTTCTGCGTTCCTATCTCATATTCCCTCTCTTATCTCAACTTCGGAGTGAACCTACTTTGTTTTTTTTGTTGTTGTTGTTTTTGTTTTTGTTTTTTTTAAGATTTTATTTATTTATTTGAGAGAGAGAGAGAATGAGAGAGAGTACATGAGAGGGGGGAAGGTCAGAGGGAGAAGCAGACTCCCTGCCGAGCAGGGAGCCCGATGCGGGACTCGAT